ACTGGTAGGTCCTTTTTCTTTCTGTTGACAGCGTCTAATCACTTCTAATAATAAGGGTCCACCCACAGTACCTTCTGCTTCAATGATACCTAAATCTCGGGCTAAGTTCTCCCGACCTTCAAGACCTTGAAACTAGAAAAGAAGTAAGATTTAGGGGCAGAAAATGTAGCGAAGCAGTCAGGCATGGAAGGGAGTACTTGAGGACCTGAAAGCATCTCTACGTTCAGAGGCTAACTGTGGTGAGCGACTTCTGGCTGTTTTATAAAGAACATCTACACGCACGGCCTCTCCTGACAGCTGCAGGGCAGCATCTTAGCAGGATCAACTCTACAGTAGCATTCCTTTCTTAGCAGCTTCAAGTTACACAAGCAACTCAGATGGCTTGTAGAAACACAATCTAACACACACACACAACAACTAAGTGTGAGCAACTGTGAGACGTCATTAATTTTCAGAGACTTCAGACAGATGTAAAACCATGTTTCTTACTGTGCTAGTTTCAGGATGGAAAACAGCCAAGGTGAAATCAAGGTTAAAAAACTGAAGAAATTCTGCCACGAGACTAGCCACTAAACGACCTGTAAAGACCAAGAGAAAGACTTGTGAGCAAAGCCTGAAGAACCCCAATTTTCCTAGTGACCTGAAGCATGCTAGGGGAGAATGAAGTGTCTAAGTTCTTTAAAATCACATATTTCTTCTCTGAATAAATCACTTAAGTACAAAAATCCCAATCTTCCCTTTTTTTTTCCTTTAGAATCAATCTGCAAGTGTAAGACAACACAGTATTTCAAAAACAGATTTCAGTGTCTCACTTTCTAGACTAGGCCAGACATGGTGGTATACTCCTATGTAAAGTCAGCCTCAGGCAGGAAGATCACTGAGGGTCAGAGGCCAGCATGGACCACAGAGGTAGACTTATTCTCCCAAATATTGACAGGATTTTAAAATTCAGAGGCAGATAAACACAAGAATAACATCTTACCATCTTTTGTATTTAAAAATTTTTTCAAGCTCTCATTGACCAAAGGAGTTTTGTTCTGTTAAAAAATAAAAGAAATATTTTAAGTGTTATATGTTTATCCTAAAACAACTAAAAAGCATACATTAAAGTTCTCTTTTTCCCATAGCCAGAGTTGATTATTAGTAAGTGAGCAAATTAAGTGGAAAGTACACCGTTCAGAGTGGAGGGTAGACAGACCAAGCCAAGTACAACAGCTACATTTATTTATTGTGGCAAAGCTATAAAGAATATATACATTGCCATTCATAAAAATCATGGTTTTATGAACTCCATTTCACAACTGTTTACTTAGCATAGGACTTGCTTTGTGCTATTTAATAACTTTTCAAGTTAATGAAACCAAACTATACTCGGAGACATTTATCTTCAACTTTTTAAACCATTTTTTTACACTGCTGGGGATTGGACTCAAGACCTTGCACATGACAGGCAAGCACTCTACACTTGGCTATACCACCAGCCCTTCAACATTTTATAATTTAAGTGCTTCGAAATAGTTTATCTACAAATATTTGTGTGGTATTATTTTAACTCTGTATTTCAAGTACATGAAATTTGAAATTTATCATCTTAGATATCTACCATTTGCAACATATACATTTGTAATTCCAAATTAATCAGGAGTATATGACATGACTTTGTGTGGCCATAGGCCAACTTATTTTTTGGATTACAGATCTGAACAAACGTAGTAAAAAACACTTCTTACAAATCGAGCCTGAGGTGACTATTCAGAGTGAGGCTAATGTAGGTAACACATGATGGGCTTCCTTAAGCAGACTCACATCTTGCTGATGGCAGTACAAATACTTTGGAAAATAGTTTGAGGCTGTTTGTTTTAAGGTTAACATTGTCCTCAGCATGTGAGCTAGTTGTTCTATTCTCAAGTATTTTCTCAAGATAAATCCCAGATCCCAGCGAAGATCTGGACATGACCATTCACACCAGCCTCATCTACAAGGGAAAAGCAGGAACAACCCAAAGATGGCATCAAAGGGTAGATGATTAAGCAAGTTATGAATATCCACTCAGTGACTAGTGGAATGACCCAGAATTCCTGAAATCGGGATTAAATACAGGAGTACAACATACACTACTGTATTATGCTGAATAAAAGCTCTCGGATCCCATGTGTGTTCTACATTTCCATTATGTGGTTTTGAAAATGATTATGATGTTAAGGCAGCTCACAAAGAAATAAGGAAAATTTGAAGGATTGTAGGTATATTCTCTTCTTGGCTGTGCAGTTCACATCCTGTAAATGCTAAGTTTATCACACCTGACATTTTAAAGTGTGAGTTTACAGAAACAATTATACCTTGTTAAAATGAAAGAAAGAGAAAAACCACAGAAGTACATGGTCTAGAGAATTTATGACACTTATTAACTGAACTAGTCAAAGAAAATGGAAGAGCAAAATCAGGTATGTACTACCAATGGGCAACCCAGGAACAGTGAAGAGAGACTTGAAATGAGGGGCACGAACGAAGAGTGAAGAGTGTAAGTACCACCCTGGAAAAGCTGTAAGCAAGCCCAAGAAAGGCAGGCAGCAGAGGACCCTCCCACTGCCAGGAGACAATGGGTGAGGGTGGGACAGGTCTGGAGAACTGGGAATGTCAGTCTCCAAGGCACACTGGTCTGACTCAGGAGGGAAGGGAGCTATGTAAGGAAACAAGGATGAAGTTACCAGTGGAGTCAGGGTGACCGTGGGGAGGCTGCCGAGTAAGTACTGTACAGAGACAGCACACCAACCCTGAAGTGGGATGAGCAGGAATGGGGTCTCACCAAAGAAACTGAGTGGACAAAAGAAAGACAGAATCGGAAAAGGCTCCCAAATGCCAAAGATTTCCAAAAAGGAAAGCGAAATCAATGTCAGATGCTGCAATGATCAAGTAACGGTGAGAACTAACGTACACTCAACTGGAGGAGCCTTCTCGACTACAGCAAGAGAAACTCCTGGGGTATAGCAGTAGTATACTTAAATTTTAATGGAGTAAGGGATACCTGGCAATAAACAACAACATGAGACATATTCTTCCAAAGAATATGTTAAAAGAAGTAGGAAAAAAAAAACAAGTAAAAGAGAACTATTTTAAGAGCAATTAAACATTTTTATACTCAAAAGAGCCAGGAGAAAAGAAGTCAAAGACCCAGTGATTAACTAAGGAGATGAGAATACATGGAGGACTAAATCAGACAATATATTTGGCAAGATGGAGCCTTTTCTCCTAGAGCAGGACAGACGGGTTCATGTACAGACATGGGTCACCTTTCCCTAAACTGACAGGTTGGGGACAGCAGCCAAGGACAGTTAGGACCTAGTCACTTCTATTCTTCCCAGAGGAAGGACAGGTAAGAAAGCTAAGTGAAGGCGACCAGATGGGCGCACTACGTCCCCGCTCAAGTCAGCATCCACCACTCTGTGACTTCAGGGGTCACGTGGTTAAGTGACTTTTCTTTGGCAATGCTTATGCAGAAACGGTAGGAGATAGTTTGCTGGGATCAAACGATCATCACCGTGTAACTAGAGAGCAAAGAAATATGGGTTTCTGAGGTGTGGACAATGGGATCTAGCCTAGCTGAGGACACACAGAAAAGATGGTGCAGAGACAAAGATCAAGAAGCAGGAGGCTGAGGAAGTTAAAGAGTAGATTCGCAGTCCACAAACGTGGAAGGATGGGAGGGCATGGACTCAGGGTGGTTGCTGGGTCTTGGGGTAAACAGAAAAGCCAAGTTACCATTTAAACACACGGGTTTTCCTGGATTTTTTTTTTTTGAGACTAAGTTCAGAGATGCTTTTAAAATAATTGATCAGATTTTTTAACCCACCAGTCAGAATCTGGAGGAAAGGTTGCATTCTACACTCCTTACCACCAAGACATTCAGAGCGTACTACAGAGTAACCCTGCAGGTATCTGGAACGCTATCAGGCAACTCCTGTGACTGAGATCTGGCTACGGGCCTGTCAGAATTACTTTAAGGCCGCTCTCCAACGTGCAAAAATGATATAGAAAACGAACCATGGTGCAGAAATACAACCCGTAACCGTTCAGAATCCCAGTTAAGTCACCCCGCGGTTTCGAAAGGGCTTGAAATCTATTAGAAATCAGGCGTTAAGAAGGACGGTCCTATCAAGGTCTGGGGGTGGGGATCTCTTACCTCTACCTTTTCTTGTTCTTCGAGCGCTAAAAACACAGCCGCTCTGAGTTCAGCCTGCAAAAGAAACACACACGCACACACGCACACGCACACGCACACACAATTCAAGTCAGTTCCGCACGGACCTGCCATCTGAATGACAGGGGCCGGCTCGAGGCGGCCCGCCCGCAGGTGCAGCGTGGGGCGGTCACGGGCCGCTCGGCGGGCGCTCGGCCCCACACCAGGCCTATGATCCGGA